TGTTAACCGAATCCGTTGATGCCTGATTTACTATATGCTTGATGTAATCTCGGGTATAGATTCCTCCATTACTTTTTCAAGATCTTACTTTTTCACAGTGAGTGCCCATGCGTTCTGGCATTCAATATTTTACAGAGTACTTTGGTCATTCCTGGTTTTATATATTGGAGCATTCTCACTATATTATGTTATACATTCTGTGTTTCTAATTGTTTTAGTGCTATTGGAGGCTTTCAAGACAAGGGGTTCAAGCATTTGTTTGGCACTACTCAAAAGTGAAAGTTGAATGGGAAGGGGAGGGGATGGAATGCTTAGGATATTGATCTATCTCTGATGAGGTAAATCAACCATTTATTTCCAACAAAACTTGGGATACATTGAGGTCTAAATTCACTTTATATTTTTTAAAAAATACTATTATAGACTAGCTACTACAATCGTACTCACACATACATTTTTTTAAAATTATTTCACTTTTTAAGAGTAGACATACAGAGTATGTTTTACTCCGTAACAAAACAATAAATGTTATTCCATGAAAAACATGCATAAGTATTACAACTCTAATACATAGACTAACATCTAGCATTTGGAACGTACGATGTACAAAATCAAAACTTCTCTTTAAACTTGCAAAACACTTCAAAGCTGTAGAAGTAACTTCAATTCCTTGAAATGGCTCTTCCAATCCCTCTAGAGGCTTCAGGTGACAACTCCAGGAGCTTCAAGTTTTAGTTTAACTTTATCCGCTAGTTCCACTGCAACAAAACTGAACTTCTATATATACACAAACAAAACTAATAAACAAGTATTAAAATAAACCTCAAAGGTAAGAATGCTCAATGAAGATATTTTTCATATTTAGATTACCCATGATGTAAGAAGCTAGCTCCAATAATTATGTAACAAATAATGTATAATATGGTGTAATGCACTTATTCAAGAAGCTAAGGAACTTCTATAGTTAAAAAGAAGATGATGATTGAGAGTAGAGGATGCATGAGTTTTTTTTGCAGAAAAGGAAATTCTTATTGAAAAAAATTAAATACAAGCCAAACAGAAGCAGTAAAACTCTAGAACAAAGCCAGTAATAGCAAACTGTAACAGAAAATCTCATGAATAAGGCTACTAAGAGCCAACTTAACCCAACAGAGCAACCCAAATGTCAAAAACTCATCAAGCCCATGTTGAAAACTTTAGAGAAAATAATAACACAACTAGATATACTAGGAATGATAGTCCAAGAACCTGAATGTGTACAAGCACATTGCCACTGGATTCATTACATGGCTCAATTCATCTATTTTGACCCAGCACCTGAATGAGATTGAGTATAGGCAGTGAGCTAATTGCGAATAATAAACATACTAAAAAACTAGTGTTCAATGTAATAGAATTAATGCATGTTAATATTGT